CCCTCCGGAGACCTGTCGCCGAGGTCTGGACAGAAGCGACACAATATTCATCAAGAGGCAAACTTTTTTTCTTCTTTTTTGCTCGTTTTCCGCATAAGGAACTGCATTTTTCAAAATCAGCAAAAAAATCCCAAAAGAGGTTTTCATATGTGACAACGACATACAAGAAAATGAGAAGTCCTTCTCGCTAGACCGCACATTATATGAAAGTGCGCCCTTATAACTGAATTTAATGCGCATCGTAGATTTTGGATAAAACTTGCAACGTCTTAGCAGTTCTGACCAAGTCAGCAGCACTTACAATTACCCTTTTTCAGCACCTTTCATTTGCACATACTTAACATTATAGGACGAAACGTAATCAACGCAATAAGGTTGAAAAAAGTAGCACTACCACAACTATTAGTTTAAACTAAGGGATAGTGTCAAGACTAACCTATTAACTTATATTCACTGCACTAAGAGCAAACTGTGGACGATTCTGGATTTTCATGTGAACACTTACGTGAGCTGTTCGATGTTAATTCATCTTCTCGCCAAGAAGGGATTGTCGCCTGCTGATACATTGTCTGTGATGACGAAGGATCACTATTCACAGTCCAGCCAGGAGGTGGTGGTGGCGGATGTAATGGTGGAGGTGGTCGTGAAGGAGCGGGACGAGGTGGGGAAGACGAGCTTGAAAGTTCGGGATTGGATGACGAGCGAGCTGCTGGTGATCCTGCAAAGGATCACTGCCTTTTGGGTTCAGTTATGACCGATATCATCTCTTAACTAAAATACTATGAGCGATTTACGCATAAAATACCATTGGATCGCCATAACTGTGTTTAATACTTATATTGAAAATCACCGAAATTAAATGTGATGTGACAGCCTGAAAACGGAGAAAGACAACACACTCCCAACAATACGACACGCTTGACCATTTTCGTAAGTATGTTCACTAATTTTGTCAAGTTGTCCAAAAGTCGTTTAGTGTAAAAATTTGGGATAATATTTGAGACCTAAAACAAGTAAAAGCTCTACATAAGAATAGGTTAGTTTGGGATTTCTTAAACAAACAAATTTTCATACAGACAGAACCTCCTTCCCAATCCTAGCAACAAAAAAGCC